CTATCCAGGGACTTACAGAATGCCTTATCCACCGTCATGGTATTCCACACAGCATCGCTTCTGAGCAGGGAACTCACTTCACAGCCAAAGAAGTGCGGCAGTGGGCCCATGGTCATGGAATCCATTGGTCTTACCATGTTCCCCACCATCCTGAAGCAGCTGGCTTGATAGAACGATGGAATGGTCTCTTAAAGACGCAGTTACAGCGCCAATTAGGTGGCAATAGCCTGGAGGGCTGGGGCAGGGTCCTCCAGAAGGCAGTGTATGCTTTGAATCAGCGTCCAGTATATGGTACAGTTTCTCCTATAGCCAGGATTCATGGGTCCAGGAATCAAGGGGTGGAAGTGGGAATGATTCCACTCACTATCACCCCTGGTGACCCTCTTCGAAAATTTTTGCTTCCTGTACCCTCAACTTTGCACTCTACTGGCTTGGATGTTTTGGTTCCAGAAGAGGGAGTGCTTCTGCCAGGAGAGACAATAACCATTCCATTGAACTGGAAACTAAGACTTCCCCCTGGACACTTTGGGCTTCTGATGCCCTTAAGTCTGGTCAAAGTGCTGAAAACAGTGACTGCTGTGTGCACAGCCTTAAATGGTGTATCTTCATTACCTCCTCCAAGGCTTAGGAAACATTGTGGAAGAAGGGGTAGAGAGAATATGAGCTGGAGGGTGGACAGAAGTGCTGCGCAACATTGTCTGCTGGATGTGGTGTGACAGTTGCATGTGACAGTTGCACATGACAGTTGGGTCTGTTCACCCTAGAGCCCAAAGTCTCCAAGTCCCTCCCTCTGCCCAGCATGGAGGAGGACAGATGTCAAGGATGAAAGCAGCAGCCTGAGACCATTCTCAACAAACTACATTTATTCACTGTAACTCACTAACCTCTAAAGTGATACATACATCCTCTACTCCCTTTCTACCACCCTCATTGCCTCCACCTTTCATCCCCACCCTGAGAACTAGCTGGATTAGCCTTAAATGAGCAGGAACCTTTGACTTTGGGGGTGCAGGATAGAGGCAGGGTCTCTGAAAGGCCTGGTCTTGAGGGGTGGCATCCTACAGGTGGCTCAGTGCCTCTTCTTTCTTTTGCTCTTCCGGGTGCCTAGTGACTCACGTTTCCTCTTCTGAGACTCTGATGGGCAAGCCAGCTCAAGGGCTGGGGACACTTTAGACACTTCGGAATTGGGCCTTGGGCTGGACATCTTAATTACAGGAGCCAAGCCTCCAATGACAGCTTGGGTTTTTGACTTGGGAGAGGGTGGGGGATCAGGGCTAAGACCCCTTCTCTGAGGGCTGGGGGACACCTACAGGGTCAGAAAGACCTGAATGGGGTCCCAAGCTGTGAGACAGTCTCCAGGGTTCCAGCTGGAGTGAGGAGGACAGGAGGAAGGATAGACTGGGGAGCTCCTCTCTAACCTTATTGTTCATGCCCACTGACTCAGGTGGCTCCCCAGTAGGAGAGGCCCCTCTGAGACCCAGGTCTTGGGTGTGGCTCCCATGGCCACAGGGAGCAGCAGTAGGTTGAGTGTCTCCCAGTGAGGGTGACCATTGATTCACAGGGAAGATGTAGGGAGCCATGGGCCCCCTGCCCGGAAATAGTAACTATTGTCTGCTTCAACCTTGTAAATTTCTTCATCCTGTAAAAACATCCTGGTTCGTGGTCTGTCTGTGGAAGGTGTGGTAAACAGCGGAACTTACCCGCCCATCTTCTTCTGCCCTCTGCTTCCCTATAAAAGCTTTGTACAAACGTTCAATAAAGAGAAGAGACTTGAAAGTGGAGTGAACCTCATCTTGGCGTCCGTGTTGTCCTTTCCTCGGCTCTGCTGGTCAGAGTCGTAGCTTGCGGCATCCAGTAACCTGGTTAAAGAAAAGAGTCAATGTAAGAAAGAAGAGTTTCAGAAATTCATAAAGGCAAGAACAGAACAGCTAAACAGTGCCAAGGAAAGGGCAGGTGTCCATGAGAAAGAAGCCAAGCTAAGCACAGCTCCAGACACGAAGCTTCCTGGCAGAGAGGAGGGGAAGCAAAGGCCCCATGGAAAAGGTCAGCCTGGCGGTACTGGTAAAGAGACTGGACGTTCAGAATGGCATGGATCTGCTGGAGACTTGACCCAGATCCAGGCCTTTTCAATAGTAATCATGCAGTTTCAGTTCCTGATTTTACAAGATGCTGATTGTGATGGAAGGTCCATCCCCAAAGTCCTTCAAGCTTGCTTGTAAATAACTAGTTACCTAACAGCTCAGTCTGGCCTGGAACTTACTTTGTATCCCAGGCTGGTCTCGAATTCATACTCTCCTGCCTCCTGAGTGTTCAGATTACCAATATGCACCCTGTTGCTAATCTGTTTTAATATATGCGATAGAGTTATCAGTAATCCCTTAATTACTTTTCAAGATCTCATTTATTTTTAGCCACTCTTAGGCTTTAGCTTCTTCTGCTGTTTAGTGTCTTAGGAAAAGTTCTATAAGCCCTGTCCATTCCCTTTTAATTTTTCAAAGTTTATTGTTGCATTTTTTAAAGTTTTCGCATTATCTTGAGTTGCCTTCTGTCTTAGGTCTAGGTAGTAAAGTAATTTCTCTGCTGAATGCCCTAACATATCTTTTTTTTTGTCTTTCTGAGACAGGGTCTCCCTGTAGCCCCAGCTGGAACTCACTGTGTAGACCAGGCTAGCCTTGAAATCACAGAGATCTGCCTGCCTCTGCCTTCCAAGTGCTGGAATTAAAGGTGTGTGCCACCACGCCCGGCCTTAATGATCGATTATAGCATGTCAGTCCACCTTCCTACTTGGTGGATACTTTCCCGTCTTTGCTCTGCCGGCCCTTCTCTGATCCCCCTTTGCTGTCTCTAGTCTCTGTCTTCTCTGCTCCCCACCTTAATTTCTGCAGTGAACTACTCGTTACTCTTGAATATGAAAGCTGAGGTGATCTGAGAAAGTTCCTTGGAAATTACTCAGACATCTGTAAAATTGTGCCCAGTTTAGAAGTCATGAAGCCACTAAGTTCAGGACAGATTCCTAAAGGGTATCCACATGCATGATTCGTTGTTAAGTTTAAGAGAAATGTTACTGATTCAAGAATTTCATACAATGAATTTTGATCATATTCAGACCTCTCCCCATCTCCACCCTAACCCTGCCACCCCTCATCCCTAACTTTGTCTTCTATTAGCAAATGAAAAGCCCCATTTGTTTTACATAACACATCTGAGCTGGGTGCCAAGGAAACCACACCTCATCAGTGTCAGTGATCTACAATTCTTACACAGAGGTGTGCCAACATGAGGGCCCACTCCCTTTGCTTTGTACGTGGTTTTGAGCCAGGATGTGCCCAGGATTCTTGGGATGGGATTTCGCTTTGATTTCTGTTACACACTGCTTAGGAACGTTGAGTAGGAATTTCTTTTTTCTCAGCAGTCAGAGATGCTTGGTTTTCCTCATCAGAGTTAGTTGTTCACAGCCTTTGCATGCAGGTTACACTTTGGCTGTTTCTGGGCCTCACTCAGCACAATGACCCCACTGTGGACCAAGGCATTCTCTAACAGGTTGATTCCCTTCAGGGTTTCATTGTGGGTAAAAACAGAAGCTGGGTCCCCATAGCAGGCAGCAATTAGCTCATAGGCCTCCAATGCAAGATTCTCTGAGTAGCATCTGGGAGATTTCACAGCTTCACTATGACAGCTTTACACCAATGTCCTTTAGTTTGTTTTCTGGAATCTGTAGACTTCTCAGATTCCTAATGTTGTTGAGGACTGCAGCCAGGTCTTGACAGCCACTGGATGATGGTGATGGTGATGGTTGGCAGACCATGGTTGCCACCGGGGCTCAGATGTATGATTCTTGTCTTGAAAATATAGGCTATAATATCCAAGGAATTATCTGGGGAATCTGAAGATAAGATGTAGAAAACGAAAGAAAGAGAATTCTGGACCAGCCAGAAAAGTTTCTGAATTTCCCAGTGCTTATTAAGGAGCTCACAAAGGTAACACCATTCATTGGCTGTCGCATTCTGGCTTCAGACCTGTGTGAGAGAATGCTGGTGGTGTCACAGTAGTTCTTCAGGATCTATGTGTATTCTTCCAGTAGCATTCTGTGACACTATCTGAGGGAGTGGTCACTTGGTCTAAGACATTTATTGTATATGGCCTGTGAATATCCCTTAATGAGTTGTGTTTTATGGGGTTTTCTTTAGATCTGCTTTAAGCATCCACTGATTCTGGCTGTGAAAAGTATCTCCCTTGCAGTACAAGAGCAGGAGTGCTTTGGATTGCTTAGATTTAATGGGGCAGGTAAAACAACTACTTTCCAAATTTTGACTGGCGAAAGGACTCCTACCTCTGGGGATGTGTTCATAGATGTCATTAGCATCACCAAAAATATCCTAAAGGTAAGATTGTATTTCCAGATAAGATGTGAGCAAGTGTGATGGCTCTGAGGCACATGGCAACTGTGACTGGCACAGACGCTGATGCTAGTGGCATTTTCTGTTGATTCTGGAGAAAGAGAGAGTGAAGCCGTAAGAGCAAAACCCATGACTAGGTTATCTTCGGTGGTTTTTGAAACTGTTGGTGTGAAAGGTGAGCTCTCTCCACAGTGTACCAAACATGTATCAGACAAGGGGCTGTACAGGTGTAAGGAAGCAAGACAAAGATGACCAGCAATCCAGCTGCAGCTAGAGCTTTGATCCATATTACTGAGAGGTCTGAAGCAGAATGGCCTTACAAAGTGGTAGCAAATCAAAGCAAGACCACAGCCTCTGTATCCCTGTACCAGCTCATGACTGGCTGCACATACCATCCAAAAAGAAGGGTAGCTTTAGGAAGAAGTCAAGTATGGGTGAGATTTCAAGAAAAAGAGAATGACCAATGTTCCCAGTGCCAGGAAAGACCATGCAAGTTGAAGCTGGATACTGTGCATTTGATTTAGTTCATAGACTTTAAATGATGAGGGTAGCAGGGACGGCTGCAGAGGGTCACTCGGGTGTGGGTAATGGAAGCTGCATGGGGGAACTGGTGTAATTCTTCCTTCTTTCTACACATGGGCCCCTGTCATCATGAATTCAAGTTGACAGCAGAGTTTCAGGAGTCTGCAGATTGTAGGATAAACAGCAGACTACTGGTCAGAAGTGAAGCTAAGAATGGGAAGGAAGTTAGCTATGATAAAAAGAGAAAGAGCAGAATAAACTCTTTTGTGAAGAGACCAATTTCATATGGTGAATAATCCAATCACACGTTGAAGAAATAAAAGAAGGGGTGATGGATGGTATAAAAAAGTGAGTGCCTCCTTCCAGGTGGTCCTCACAGGGGAGACAGTCTATATAAGTAGTATCTATACCACTTATCAAATCCCTTTGAGGGGATGGAAGGGTGGGGTAAGCAGCCCCATCCCCTGACCATTAGGGATGGAAGAAATGATTGAGTGAATTTGTCACCAAGGAGCAAAACCTGAATTGAGAAGCAGAGTCACAGTCAGATAAAGTATCGAATTTAAAAGGAAACTAGGCACACGAGCAAAAGAGAAGGTTTTGCAGTGACTGGTTCTGAGTTTGCAAAGTCTGAAGGAACTTTATTCAGGCCTCAGAGAATCTTTCAAGTTTGCTGTTCTAAAATGTCTCTCACAATTTATGTGACAGGTGGTAATATTTCATTTACTTGGCCTTTAATTTTTTTCTGTGTATCTTTTTATTGTGTGGCAATAAACAATGTAAGATTTACCATTGAATGCATTTCTGAGTGTATAATTCTATAATCCAGTGACATTGTGGATCTATTACCACTATCTCTAGAATTATTTCAATATTCTAAACTGACAGACAATCTGTACCCATTAAACAGTAACTCTTCCTTCCCACATTCACACCCTGGTAACCACTGCTCTACTTTCTGTCTGTATGACTTTGACTATGTGTTAGACACCGCATATAAGTAGAATCACATAATCTTCCTTTTTTCCTGATGCATTTTACCAATTACATTGACTTCAGGGCTTATCTTTGTGTTCTATTTCACTCCATTGTGTGAATACAGAACATTTTGTACACCTGTTCATCTACTGAACATCTTAGTTATTGTCACTGTTTGGCTACCATAAATAATGATGCTATAAACATTGCTCTGAAATTCTCTGATCAGCTTCCTATGTAAGAGTGAAACCACAGAGGACAAGTCAGCCTTCGGGTTGCAACAGCAAGAGGTTTATTTAGTACACAGGTACCTGTGGGCACAAAGTCTCCTCGGGGGACTTGCGCGCCTCAGGTCGGGTTTGTGGAACTTTTATAGAGCAGAAGCGGGATACAGAAGCAGAAACGCGGTTATTGGTTAGTTTAAACTATTACAAAATGCTACAGGGAGAGCGGGGAGCTTACTTATCACTAAGCCAGATGTCTCAACCATAAAACTTATTTATCAGTGAGTTGGAGATGTCTCGGCCATGAAACTTACTTATCAGTAAGCCAGATGTCCTGGCCATAAAACTTACTTATCGGCAAGCCAGATGTCTCGGCCATAAAACTTACTTATCAGTAAGTTGGAATTCTTGACCAGTACGCGACCTGCCTGAGAGACTTCATGGCTCCTGACTTTTATTTTTTCAAAATAATTCAGCAAAACATCAAGCAAATGCGTAAGAACTAGCAAGCCCTTTTCTATTGATAGCCTTTCTCGTATGAATTGAGTCAACCGGTTGAAAATGCAGGGGCCTATTGTCAAGATTAAGAGTAGGGAAACCAGGGGCCCAATAAGAGGTAGAAGATAAGGCAGAATTCCGTTCCACATGCCCCACATGGGGTTAGCAAAAAGCTCTTGGTGCCTTTTTTCTAGCTCTTCTTGGTGTTTTTTAATCCGATCGCTGACGATCCCGGACTTGTTGGTATAAAAATAGCATTTTTCCTGTAAAGCTAAACAGATACCTCCCTTGTCTGCTGTTAGTAGATCAAGTCCCCGTCTATTTTGTAGGACAACCTCGGCTAGTGAGTCTACCTGGTCCTGAAGATCTTGTACAGACCGATAGACCATATTAACATCATCAATTAACTGCTGAGATAATTTGTTGTAGGTGTCTATTGCCACTCCTACACCAGCTGAGCCAGTAGCGAGTGCTCCTGAGATACCCAGTCCAATAATCAATGGAATAAATTGGACCGCTCGTTTGTGCCTAGGAACGAATGTGTCAAAGCTAGGCAAAGGCACAGGCTCATCTCCTGGAATTATGTCTATGTCTGGCAAAAGCAATGCGGGGGCACATGAACCAGTCCAATTAGTGGGTAAATAAGGATAGGCCATGTTATTTCCACATACATAAATTCTTCCCCCACCCCCAAACAGCCTGTCTGAGAGGTGTTGACGAACCTAGAGCAGGTAGTAAACATAGCTAATCCAAGATCTACATCAAAGGAATTATTTTGAAAAGGATTAAAAAGACAAACAGATGTATTGAAGTAACAGGGTAGGACCTTAAAAGGCATGGAATAGCTACAGTTATCTGGAGAGGGGAGTATGTTAGACTCATTGTTTAAAGGTATAACTAGAGGCCATGAAGTTATTGGAGGAGCCATCAGTGAATACCAAATGTGCTTTAGGTATGGGGTCTCTTTTAGTTACTTTAGGAAATATAACAGGGACTGGGCTTTTGTTAAAGAATTGGACCAATTTATTTTGGGGATAATGATTATCTAATTTTCCCTGAAATGTAACACTATTAATAACCCACTCATCGAGGTGTCTGTTAAGCCAGGAAACCTGGGAAGGGCTGTAGGGAAGTATTATAACATCTGGTTCCTTCCCAAACAGTTTGCAGGATTGTTCCCTGCCAAGCTGAAGAATTTTCACTACCAATGAAGGATAAGTGGGAAGGACCTTGTTGGTTGTAGAAGGTAGATGTACCCAATAAAGAGGATTGCCTCCTTGCCAGAAGACAGCAGTGGGAAAAAGGGGGGTGGCGAAAACTATGAGAAGCAATTGCTTAGTGGGAGAAAAATAATCAATAGTTTGTTGAGAAATGGCCTCCTCCACTAGGGCAAGAGCCTTAGAAGCCTCTGGTGTAAATTGACGGGGAGAGGTGGGGTCAGCACTTCCCTTGAGTATATCAAAGAGTGGTTTTAATTCTCCTGTGGTTAATTTTAAATAAGGCCGGAGCCAATTAATATCTCCTAAAAGGCGTTGGAAATCATTAAGTGTTTGGAGGGAATTTTTCTGAAGTTGTATTTTTTGAGAAACTATTTTATGAGGGAAAAGCTCGAAACCCAAAAAGAGCTGGGGAGGATTTAGTTGAATTTTATCTGGGGCGACTTGGAGACCCTGTTGGTGAAAGGCATGAATTAACTGCTGAGCAGCTGAGTATACTAGTTTAAGCTCGGGTCCTGCTAAGAGAACATCATCCATGTAATGGATAATATAAAGGGATGGGTATTGGAGCCAGAAAGGATCAACAATTTGAGCAACAAATTTTTGGCAAAGAGTGGGGCTATTAGCCATGCCTTGAGGTAGTACCCTCCATTGAAAA